GGGAAGTGGGAGAGGTAGGGAAAAGGAAATAAGGAAAAAGAAAAAGTATGAGAAAAGGAAAAAATGGAAACAAGTCTTTGTAAACAGGGAAGGGTGGAGGGGGTGAAGGGAGGGCAGGGGTATGGGGAATAAATGAGAGCCAAGACCTGTCATGTAAAGGTACAAGATCCCAATGATAAATGTAACTGTACTGTATACATAAAAAGTACCGGTAGACTCAATGAAAAAAAAAGTCGTGTTCCGTATACAAGTATCTCTTACACTGACAGCATGTATGTTTTGTTTTCAAGCCTTTTCTTGCAGGGCGCAATTGACATCTTTCTAGTTTTGATGTTGTTGTAGTAGTTCTTTGTGACTTGCACCTGCCTATTCACCTGTCAGTTTACCAGTGTGCTCCATGATTTTTGTTTTGTGTGTGTGTGTAGTTCCCCAGGCAGAAACATTTAAAATGGTCTCTTAGGAGTTTTAGTCCCAATCCTCTAAGAAAAATTTTCTGTGATGTTTTTCACTTGTTATTTTCTTTGTAAACGTTAAACTATTTATGCATACATGTTTAGGCTCCAGTAAAACACATTCATCGGCCAGTGCTTTGTTTTGGTGCTATCACAGTTGCTGCATAACTCATCAGCATCTACTCCACCTTTGTTTTGTGAAGGCAAGTTTCCATCTCATGCTTCTGTTTTGTTGAGTTTTCCCTATCAATATTCCATTATGGTGCAATGTTGACATCAGCAGGACAAGCTTGTTTTCCTTTGAGTTATTTGAGGCTAATTTAAATCTTTCTGAAATCCAAATATTATACCATGCAGCTCTCTGTTTTGAAACTGCAAAATTTCATTGAGAATTTCTGCTTTGTTCCTGCATACAGTTCCTGGACTGGTCAACTTGTGCTCAGTTAGCAAATGTAACATTGATTGGAAACTGGTAAACCAATGTTGAATGTCACATTCCAATTAGTTTTGGAGACAGGAGCAGTAAGTCTGTTCACATTATTTGGTTTATTACTATACAAAGAAGGACTCAAAGGCTGAGTTCCAGGATAAATTTCTAAATTGAAAGCAGAATAAGTCTTCGCATCTATAAGAGCATAAATTTTTATGCCATATTTTGATCCATCACTTTTTCCATAAGTCTTTTACATTCCTGAAATTACCATGAGAAATCCCTGCTAAATACAGCAGACCTATGAATGCTTTCAATTCAACTAGAGAGGTGTCATAATAAAAACATTTCTGCACTTGATCTTAGCCAAAAGGCCGAGAAGCGATATAAAAACATTTCTGAATATGTCTGTTGGTGCATACAGAATGTTTTACTTGTATTTCAGCCTTTGTGCATTTCACAATGTTACAATTTCCAACATTAAATGGCAGTGATGGCATTTTGTCCAATAGGTTTCACCCCTTCCTCGGGTTTCACCCAAGACCCTCACTATATTTTCAGACAAGTTCTAACACTGGATCATTCCTTTTGGCTGAGTGACCATTTTGCAACGTTTCACTTAGTCATGCGCTCACATTGTTGTTTTATTTGTCATATGTGTCAAAGAGATCTGCATTCCCTGTGTCTAAACAGTCAATTCTTGTTCCATTTCACTGGCATAGAAACTTTGGCTCACATGGCTAAAGTCAAAGGCACCTTCATCATCATCACTCACCCACACTACTCTTCTGTTAGGAAAACATGTATTTTATCATAATAGATCATCTTCATCATGCACGCCTGCGGAATATGATGATTCACTTTTGACTGCCTCCGAGACTTGCAAATCTAGTTTTTCATACACCGTTGTATTGAATTGGGCTGCTTCTACTAGAAAAAGAAAAAGAAAACTTAAAACAAAACAAAACAAATCCTAGACTGCTGTGAATGTATTATACCCTCTGTGATGCTCAGGTAAACGTTCACGAAACCTGTTAGACGGAGCATCACATGGGTGAAAATCCCTGTTTGACACTGCTGCACATGTGCACACATCCTGTGATTCATCACACCAAGTAACGAAACACAGAGATTGGTTCCTGAATCCCTCAGGGGAATCTCCTGAGATGTACAGCTGACTACTATTATACTAAAATGAAAATTTGCAGTATAAAAGTAAGGGATGTGTTTGTGAAACCTAGTGTTATGCATGTAGAGGTAGCAACAGCTATCACCTGATGGGGTGGAAACGTATCTAAAATGTATGTTAGAAAACGGGATGCTAGAAACGAAGGGATCGTGAACACAGTCTCTGACCTGTTATTTTAAGATGTGATGATCAAAACCCAGGGAGATGAGGCCATCTGATGACAATAACTCAGTGTCAGATAAGGATTATAACCTCACCTTCTTCTAGTCCAGTGATTCTTTTTTTTGAGGAGTCTTCTTAAATGCCTAATATTTAAGGAGAATCCCTAGAAATCAAGTTATAATATACCACAAAATGAAATACAAATAAATGTAAATAGTATGATTACTTAATGTATCTCTGGATTGAAGGCTAACTATATGATAACTACCAGAAACCAGCTGCATAAAGATAACTCAAGATGCCAGCATCGCAGAGCTTTACAAATCATCAGGTTCTGCCCTATGTCTAACTTGAATTCTTCATGCTAAAATTTCACTCTCATTCTTTTTGCTCCTTTTCTAATTGAGAGCTCCTATTAATGAACTTTGGCTATTGATTGGCTCCAAGTGAGTCAGTGATTATGGCCCATTTTCTTTGTTAGTATAAAGAAGAGATTTTAATGGAAATCTTTAAGAAACTTAGAGGAGATAGAATAAGTTGTTCAGCAAAGGAGATTCTCCAGATTTTCTTTTAGGCAGACATTAACCTCATGAGGATTGTAATAATACCTTGAGATCATAATGGTGAGTCAAATAAATCAGACACACAAGCTTAAATATTGCATGGCTTATCTGAAATGAGAAACTCAAAATATACAGAGCAAAATTAAAGATACATAATAGGAAATAGGGAGATAGATCTTTTGCAAAAGGGAAAGGGGCCAGAGGTGGAAGGGAGGGGATAAAAAAGAATTAAAATGTGTTATGTACATGTACAAGTTCTCCAGGAGGAATTGAATTATTATGCATCACAAACATGTACTAATAAAAAAATTTGAAAAAAGTAAGTGTAGCATTGAATGTTCCTTAAATTTCATGGATGTCTCACATTCTCTGGCCCACTGGGTTGCATGTTTTTACTTTCTGAGAAGACTGTTATTGAAAATGTATGGAAAAGCAGAATGTTTAAGTAGCAGCAAGCTGTTGGTATGATTATTCATGCTGGTCATCTCAGCCACATGTTTAGAACTGATTTGAAAATTTCTTTGTAGTTTTTTTTTAAGATGTTGTATATATTCTACTGCCTGAGAAACAGGACCAGAACATGAAAGCAAATTAGTCCAAATTTCCACCAGAAAAATGTGTTCTTTCTCATCTTTCAATATCAGTACCAAAATACACTCCATTATAAATTCTTCACAATTAACCTTATTATCTTCATGCAGACTTAGAACACCAACTTTTTTTTTTTTAAGTGGCAAAAATTTATTGAGGGAAAGAAAGCTTCTGTCTAAGAGAGACAGAGGGGACAGGAGAGTGGGTTGCCTGCTCACCCTACTTCTCCAAGATGTTTTATACAGCAAAGCCATGTGGTGAGGCGGGTACAGAGTGGGACAAAACTGTAAGACCCAATGGAAAATTACAAGGTGGGAATGGGGTGGGGCAAAACCATGACCAACCAATAAGATTACAAGTACAGTCACCCAGGTAATACTGATTAAATGGGGGTCAAATGGGGGAGCAAGTCACATAGCAAGTGTACAAGGATTTTCAGTAAGGGTGGGGATCAGGGATATTTCCTGGAAAGGCTGGGCTAAGACCTTGGCCCATCCCCCAGGTGATTGATACTTACTTAGAATATCAATCACTGCTATTTATCCTACACAGCTCTGGTAGTTTCTCTCCTTTAAAATTCTATCTACAGTGAGTGTGTCTTTGTTGTCCTCCGAGTTGGCTTCTTGCTGTGTTGGCTCCTTGAGGTCTGGCTACTTGAAGGTGTCCCTAACTACCTGCAAGATATCTAATTAACTTACCTATGTGCAATATTCCCCTCTCTGAAGAAGTACCCCTAACTTCTGGGAGGGGGCAGAGGGCAAAGACAGCTCTGGCTATTTCCAGCTGAAGAGGGTTATAGCTGTGGTCAGCAGTTAGAGTTACTCTTCAGAGGCTCTATCTAAAGGCCTTCAGTAGGTGCCTGGCATTGTCGTCTTGGTAGCTGCATAGCTTTTAAGTCTGGAGGAGACAAAGCCAAAGACAGTTAAGAATGCATGGGCCAAATTATAATGTCAGCAGGATTGCTATGAATATAGCCCACAAAGTGAGTAAGGAAAAGGTCCAGGGGACTTCAGAATCCAACAGAGAAGTCATACTGTATAGTTCACAGTTATGAGCTCTTTACAAAATCAATCTGATAGAACACCAACTTTTGTGAAGATCTTTGTTATTACTGTATTCCCAGGACAAGAGGAGGGAATTAAATACAGAAAATATAACTATGTTTTTACATTGGTAAATTTTAGGACTTATCATGAACAGTAAAAGAAAATTTCATTTGAAATGTATAGCATACGAACACATACTAATAAAAAAAGAAATTCAGAGCATAAACCTTTGTCTTTTAAGTATACCATTAGTATTGGTCTTTTGGGTTTCTGGTTCAAATAAAAACAATGGAAACTTAGATATTTTCTGAAAAGTTAGTATGGAATTGCAAATGGAAATAATTTAGCATATAATTATTTTTAAAGTGTGGATTTTTTTTTTTTTATGTACTGGGAATCGAAAACAGATCTTTGTGCTTACAAGGCAGGTAGCAGAACCACTGAGCTAAATCCCCAGCCCTGGATTGCATTGTTAGTGTGAAAAAAGTGATTCCTTTATTTTCCCTTTCCTGTATCACTACTGTAAAGGAGACAAATATGGATTGCTTCCTTTTCCTTTTCTTTCAGCTACTCAGTGACTGTGCAAGAGTCGTACCCACATCCCTTTGATCAGATTTACTACACCAGCTGCACTGACATCCTGAACTGGTTTAAATGCACTCGGCACAGGTAAGGGAACCCGATACGTCTAGTAATTTGGCTCCCTGGGAGTGGAGTCTGATGTATGCAGAGATATCAATTACTGGAGAACAGGCATGCAATGAATTGTACTGAGGGCTTGCTGCCATCCTAGTCTTGCTGCAGATCACAGGAGACACAGGACGGCAGAGAGGCAGCCCATGCCCTTTAGGAGCTCACGGTCGAAAGACAGAGGAGGCGTCTGCTCTCCGTCACTCATGTAGCAGTGTTTTATGCAGCTTCCGTGCTTGATCGGGAAAGATCCTGTTGAGTATGGGTATCACCGAATAGAAAGAAAGCCCTGTCTCAGAATGTTTCTAGTTGAACACCTAATTCCATTTGTGCTTAAATCTGCCTTTTACGTAAAAGAAGCTGTATGTTATTCTGTAAATGTGAACATAGAGATGAGATCAAAATATTATTAGATATGATTAGCTTTCAGAGAGGCAGACCTTACTGCTCTCCTGTTATTATTAAATACTGATAAATGTGTAGTAGGGAGTCACGGGGTGCATGTGACACCTGCACTTCTGTGCACGAGCTGACCCAGACCACTCTGTCTGCCTCGCATTCCTCCGCCGTCGCATTTCATCCCTCCACTCCGACTTCAGTTTTCGTCATTGGAGTCATTGCCAGCGCTTTTCTGTTTGCTTAATGTGTCTTTACAAGTTTACAAATTCTACAAGATCAGTCCTCCTCAGTAGGAAGGAAGTTTTTGTGAGGGTAAGCGCTCGCTCTTGTTTTGCTTGATATCTTTTCCTCCATGCCTGAAAGATAGAAAGCACTCAATTACACATGCATATATGAATCAGTGAATGAACGATGCTTTAAAAATAGAAAGGCATCTATCAGTCTTCTGACTTTATAGTGGAATGACTCTGGACTGAGATTTTTTAAAGAAGTTCTCTGGATTCTTCCTTTAGACACAGGAAAGTGAAAACACTTAGGTCGGCATCAAACAGGAAAATCAGTACTTTCGCGTCATTTCGAGATAAGCGAAGGAGGGAAATCATGAGCGATGAATTTTAGGTCAGGGATGGCGAGCCTTTGGAGCTTTTGGCCCTAGCAGACAGCCAGCTGCGGCACACGTGCCACAGTTTTGCTGCCCCTGGTCCGTGTGCACTCATTATTGGCAGCGTGGTGCTGAGAGTTGGCACAGTATTCGTGAAGACATATGTTCCGTATTTATCCGTTATTTTGAGGTACTTCGCTTTTCACGCCTTTGTTATAGTTAGTAAGCCCCATTGCTACTAACATAAAAATGATTTCTGATCAAATTGCCAGTCAGAAGAACTAACGATGTGATTTTTCTTTCCTTTATATAGAATCAGTTATCGGACAGCCTATCGACATGGGGAAAAAACTATGTATAGGCGCAAATCCCAGTGTTGTCCTGGATTTTACGAGAGCAGGGACATGTGTGTCCGTAAGTAAGACCTTCATCCCCTTGAGGTGCATTTGTTGGTTCCAGGGCTGGCTTGCTTCACTTAATGGCTGCAGAGAAGGAGGTTTGGGGAGATAATGTGTCTTGAAAAGCCCCCTTTCACTTTGGTGCAACTTTTTGGACTCGTGCGGATGAGGGAAACGTTGTCCTCCTGTCCAAATGAATGCTGCTCGAAGAGAAAAAGTGCGGATAAGGAGATGATTCGAAGTCAGATGTGGCCATGTTAACTGCAATTTTTCGGTATACGCATCACTGGAAATTGGTCAGGAGTTGGTGGACCGAAGTCACAAAAGAGAACAGAGACGTAGCTTTCCTGCAGATGACACAAGGAAACGTCTAACAGTCCAGCGTGTTCTTTTCTGGTGCGCAGAATGGTGGGGCTCATTAAGTGTAGACTTTTCACATCAAGAAGAGATAGTAAGTCTGGGTCACAAAGTTGGTCCTCATTTTTATTGTCATTTTACCTCTTTTTTCCACTCACCTTCTCACCAGTCCATTCCAAGATGTCTTGGGAGAAATTTAGTGCTTTATGGTATACTTTAGAAAGTTCTAGAGTATCTTATAGGAGGCAGTTTGCCTTTGAGGTTTCTCATTATTGTACCTAGGTCACTCAGATGAGCTATCATTCAAAACTATTTTATGCAACTATTTTGGTTCAACATACAGCCAGAGGGGCACTTTAGCTTCTGAGTTTGACATTGATGTTTAGCTGGTATAGAGGCAAGTTTGTGCTGAAGTTTGGAGGAAAGAGGAGGAGCTGAGCTTATAGCACCGGTGGTCTCAGATGTGTCGTTTATATCTCTTTAAAACCCTTGGTTGTCGCTTAGAGAGAGGACCTGTGTCAGCACATGTCTCAGTTTCCTTCCAACCTGGAGAGTCTTTCGTTCTTCATGGAGACAGAGGCTGCTCCTCAACTTTGGTTCAGAGCCAGGGCTATGTCTGGTAATAAATATTCATAGAAACAATAGAATATGTAACCAAGCAAAGAGAAGAAAATTGAAATAAATTGGGAATAGCTTTCTTGATTAGTTAATACACGTTTGTAACGTATTGAATATGTCAGTACAGTTATATTATTACACTATAGGCATTTTTAACCAATTTCAACAGTTGAATATTTTACATGATTTTCAAGGTGCATCTATTATGAACTACTCCAGAAGCATCATTGCGATTAAATAATTGTCCATATTATTAATCAAGTAAAGCCAAATTTTTAGAAGTAGAATTGCTGGGCCAAAGACACATGGCATTTCTAAGACTTCTGGAGTGTTTCCTTCCAATTTATAGACACATCAGCAGCAAATGAGAATTCCTCTCGGCTTTTCCCCTGTGCCAGTTTTCCTTTTGGTAATTTTTTCTTAATTTGCATGTCTTTGATTAATAACGATGCTGAATAAGAAAAATTACATGTTTATAATCAAACATCTTAGCAAATAATCAGGAACTAATCTCAGTGGCCCCATCTGATGGGAACTCTCAGAGGAACACAGACCGTCTGGAGCACAGGACTGAGAGAGGGGCGGCCTGGTTGCCGGGCTGGCTATTTGCCCAAGAATGTGGGTGCCATTAGCAGGGTTCAGCCTCACAAGCACCATTGTCAACACACTGAGAGAGGATGTCTGTCTCCCAGGATGGTTTGTTAATAACCCAGAGCACAGGACTTATGTATAAAGCCTGGCTACTCTCTCCTTATTTACGCAGAGCTTGGAGAGGTGCTGGGGCCTTTTTGACCTCTGGCCTAGGAGAGGGGCACGTGGGAAGCCAGATTTTACTGGCAAGCTAGGGTTTAGAGAGTGGACTCACATGGGGCGGGTTAGAGAGAGACCCAGGGCCAGTTAGAGAGAGGGCTTCAGTGTTAGGGCCTCAGCTTTCCAGGGCTAACGCCTCTGTCGTTTTATTCAATAGTGCAGCCTTTCTTGGACAGTTAGACAAGTTCACACCATCATATCTGAAATTGTATTGATAAAAATAAACTTTTATTTTTCACTAGACAAACATCAAGGTGTCCTCCAGAGCTCTTCCATGGACTGGACAGCTTTTCTATTTGCCTCTAAAAGTCTCTTTTTTCTGGCCCTTCTTAGCTGACCAGCTGCTCCACAAGACTGAAACATTTTCTCTTTAGAGATGTTAATATGTTTAATCAGCTTAGGGTCTGCTCTCCTTGGCCTGGGAGTTTTTGGTCTCTTGAAGGGCATTTTGCATTGCTAGGCTGTGATGTCTTAGTTTTCCAGAGACAGACTGACTTCTAGTCTTAGTTCCTTGTTCTTGGGGATGCCTCGAAGTGAGTCCTCTGTGCTGTTCAGTGGGCGCTAGCAGGGCAGCCTTCTGCACAGGGGAAGAAGAGAGGACATGGGATTCTGGGCCCTGCTTTCAAGATCTCCTTTTCAGGCACATTTTGCTGCCAGACAGATAACACAATCGTCATTTTTAATTGTTTCCAGTTACTGAAAGGAATGGAAATACAGGAATCAGATTCCATTTTAGTTTAATTTTTGGTTCTCAGTTTATCTGGAAGGAAAAAAAGGATATTTTCATAAAAATATCTATATTTGAAAATAGTTTCTTTTGTGTAGCTGAAGTAGCTCCTTCAGGAGAGCAGACAGTAGCCTCTCAACCCTCCCAGTAACCCCTCCAGAAGTTTACGCTGAACAGGGCCATGCTGGAGTCATGGCCGGGCGCTGCCAGCTTCCTGGTGACCCTTCACCCTGTTCTGTGAGGACCTGGCTGTTCCTCCATCCTCTAACCCATTGGCAGCCTGCACTTTTGTTTCTCCCTCTTTCCTACAGAAATAGGAACATTTTACAAGGCTTATTTATTTTTTATTTTGTTGTTGTTGTTGTTGTTTATTTGTTTTTGATACAGGCTCTTGTTATGTAGTTCAGGCTAGTCTTGAACTCACAATGTAGCCCAGGCTGTCTTCAAAGTCAAGGTGATCCTCCTGCCTCAGCCATCCCAGCGCTGGAATTACAGGCCCCCATCCAGCCTAGTTCTTAAATATTAAACTAGCTCTTTATCAGGAAATTGTCAAGAACACATATGCTGGAGAATCATTATCTCTAAGCTTCGGAGACAGTCATATGGAGAATTGACAGCCAGTTCAGAGTCAGCTTCAAGGAGTATCTGGGCAGACTTGCCATGGTGATGATGCCTCAGGATTGTGAGCACAGTGTGTGGAGGGCGCCAGAGGAGGGCACTACCATGCAGACTTGTGTGGCTCCAGGTGGGGAGGAAAGCAGTTTTCTATTTCCTCCTATTTGTTAGGAAAATCAGATTCAGCACAGTGAGTTTAATGTAATTGAACTCTTTTTTTTCCAGTACTGGGGATCAAACTCAAGACCTTGTGCTTGTCAGGCAGTCATGGCACCGCTGAGCTAAATTCCCAGCCCAATGTGATTGAATTTAACACGCATTGACTGGGTACTTACAATGTAAAAACCACTTGGCTGGTCTCCAGCAATTATGTACATATCTGAGCTGGACTCCCTTACTGCCTTCATAGAGCTTGCCCTAAATGTTTTTTTTAAACGTGTTTAAGACAACAAAGTAACAGTTAACTTTATGGAGTGTTTTCTATGTACCAGGCACATACATTATTTCATTAAATTTCTAAAACATCACTATGATGCAGGAATAATTATCTGATTTATAGATGTGGAGACTGAGGCTTCGAGACATTGAATGACTTTTCCAGTCTGATCCGTCAGTGGTTGGTGGTAGGGGACAGCACTGATATTCTGAATAGAAAATGATACCTCATCTAAGTAAGAAAAAGAAAAGAGCAGAGCAATTTATGAACCAAATACTACCCAACTCCGGTCCCTGTTGTATTTTTTTTTTTCCAGAATTTCCTAGCAGCATTAGAGATAAAAAAATTATTAGATAATTTTGCCCTGTAAAACAAAGGTAAGAAATTGAATTTCTTCACAAATTCAATTACGCATGCTCTGTGTTTAATTCTCTCTTTTTAAAGAGTGAATAAAGGCAGTGAACACTTTTTCTTTTGAAGTCAGACTTTTAAAAGGTTCCTAAAATAAAGGACTTTAGAGGAAATAAGCAGAGCACAGATATGGTTAGGTCTTCGTGGACCGGGAGAGCGCACGCTAATCTCACTGTGCAGCCGGCAGGTCTCGGGATGGTGTCTGTTGCTGTCTGTCACCGCATGTGGCTTCACCTGAGAAATCTTGCGAGGGAGCCGAGGCAGGTCTTTCCTCTTTTTCACTACTTTCAAGGTAGCTTGAGTAAGAACTGGAGCTCAGAGAAAACTGAAAATTCTTACTTTGTACGTTATGGCTGGAGTGGCCTGGAATCGCTTCTTCATGGAGGTCCTCATGGAAGCTGTCTTGGGATGTGGCTCTCGTTTCGTGTTTGTGTACGGCAGAGGCAGCAGGTGTCCCTCGGGTGTCACAGCATGCTGTCAGCTGTGTGCAGTTTGGGAGGAGAACCCTGGTTTTCTTGTTTATGGGGCGCAATGAAGGGAGCAGCGCTGCTTCTGCCCGGAACGCAGAGGCAGAGGGGCTGAGAAGTTTATAGGGTGAACTCCAGCTCGGGGGGCTCCTTCCGGTGAATTCTCAGGCTGTGCAGATGCTGCAGGTCTGGAGACCACATGTTGAGTAACGAGCCATTCTGCTCAGAGACCAATGCTCCTCACTAAGCAGCGAGAACCAAAGCAGAGAGAATGGGGACTAGCATAGAGAGAAGCCTTTCTCAGGAAGAAAATATGACTAAGACATGCAAAAATCTCTGCGTTTTTGATGGGGTCTTACAGTGTGCATACATTTATTTTAAACTCTAAGTCTGTTCATCCTTAGATTTGTATTTTTGCGTGATCTGTGTTAAGAAAGAATTTAAATGTGTTTAAGTCTTTGATTTGGAGAATTTTAAATATTAATAAAGAAATACCCAGGAAAGTGAAATAGTTTTAATGTATTTGTATATATATGTGTGAATTATATGTGTTTGTGTGAAGGTACAGATATGTG